CTTTTACTTTTTATTTAATAATAACATATGTAATGTTAAGAATGCTTTATATATTTTTGTAAACTTATCTTTCACATTAAGGGTAAACTAAAAGGCACATCCTTTTCTCTTATTTTTTTTGTTTATTAAACATGTAACGGAAAATAATAATAAAGAATATATTAGTTTATTATACATCACATAATAAGATAAACATGCATATTACTCCCATTTAATTATTGTGGTTGTTATTATTAGTATTATTATTTCTTATTATTACTATTAATATTAATTTCAAAATATGTGTTATAGAAAATAGAAATGAAAAATATTTCCTTTGATTGGTATTAATGTCTATGAAGATCAATTAACCAATACGATTATCCTTCAAGTTTAAAAAATATATATAATTAAAAACCTTTTAATGTATTAACATATCATGTATTGTAACATTATGAGTGACATTTTTTCATATTATTGTTATTGTTTTGTACTATAATTAGTTGTACATTCAGAGTTATTGATCTTACTTCTCTGCAAATAACATTAAAAAATGAAATTGAAAAATTATATATGTTAATATATTAAATAATTTTAAGTTTATAAAATCATATTATTTCTTACTCAATACTTCCTTTCAGATCAACTATTTCAGCAACATTGCCATTCCTATAAATTTTCATAAATTGAGCATTTAACAAATGAAAGATCTCCTAATAAAAAAATAGTTATTTTAAAATTAAGTTACATAATTTGTAAAATTTTTTATTTTTTATAAAAAATTATAAACTTCATTATATACTTTTCTCTATTATCTTTACTATCATAAATGTAAATATAATAGTCTCTACATTTAAGTCATTAGAAAATTTAATTTGCTCAAATTTGATTTACCATGAAAGATCAAAGTGTTATGCTTAAGTGATTTTTCCTTCAATAAATTTAAAACAATATCAAACAACTATTTACAATTAATTGATTAAGAATAATATTTTCTTCAATTAAGAAGAAATAAAATTCAAATATATCATATAATAACATCAATATGAATTACCTTTGATGTTCAATATGTCGCACTCCATTCAAACAGCATTACAACCATTTGCTTGCTTCTTTTCTAGAGTCCAAACACCAATTAAAACTCTAATAACATCTAGAGTTTTAATAAAAGTATTTTTAATAAAAATGAATCATATGTTTATTTAATAAAATTATTTTAAGATAAAAAGTTAACACAAAAAGATTTTTTTTTCCTCAAGTAGGTTTTCATAGTTGGTGAGTTCAAATACAAATCTTGGAATCACTGAGACTTCTTCATTCAATTCTTTGATTATAGTATCAAAATGGAATTGGATTCTATAATTGTTATAAGAAACAACAATATGTGTTCATATTTTTTTCTATAGAAAATCTTTTCATGTAATAAATATTCCTTTCAACCAACTTATCTTTAAATCGCAAGCATTGGAACTCCAAATTACAGCATGAATAAAATTTTTTTGCAACTAAAATAATAATTGTTAATAGAAATTGTTAAATATTTAAAAAACCAAATTTAATAAGTCATAAAATTACCTTCTTATAGATCAAAACCATTTAAGTTGTTAGATGATTTTTGTCATGTTTCAAACTAAAAACATCTCATAGTCTACAAATTTGCACTTTAATCTTCCAATTTTTGTTATCAAGAGAAAGTTGATCAAAAAATACATACTTTATATCTTTCGCTTTGATTTACCTACAAATATTTTAAAAATTTTAGCAACAAAATATTTCAATATATGGGAAAAAATGTAATATAATTAGGGACAAAACAAATTGGTGGTTAAGATCAAAATACTTGTTTATATTGAGAAAAAGAAATCCTAACAATTATGCCCTGCAACCAAATTTTGGATTTAGAAAAATATTTAAAACAAAATAACAATGAAAAAATGCAGAGAGTTTAAATGGTTGACACTTGACTTTTCATCTTCTTTTTGTTAGATAATTTTTTTTCCATTTTTCTTTCTTTGGTTGCTACTTCATCTACCACATTTATTCATTAATCAATTATTTTTAATTATGTTTATCATTTACATATTTTCAATTATTTGTCTCTTCATCTACCACTTTCATTGTCATTTATAATTTTCTCTTTTTTCCATTTATACTAATAATATAATAATAATTATATATATATTTTGCATACCCTATTTAATGCATAGGGTAGCATTATATATATAGATTTTTTAGTTACTAGAATAAATATCAAATAT